TATATTCCAAGCATTCTGAAGGTATACTGAGGGTTTAGTGAGAAACAAACCAAAATGGCAAGTTATTATATTTTATGAAAATCTTGTGTTGTGTTGCAGTGCGAGTGTGCAGCAGTTCACGCCGCACACAAGTGCATATCCTTTTTAGATATCAATTATAATAAATTTTAATAAAACACAAGACTACATTATATAACTCTAACAGTGGGCTATTTAATATCTGTTGTTCTCCGGTTGTCAGTAAGAATGACAGTTATTGTGTACATAGGCCAGCCCAAGCCAATTTATTATTCTTTCCTTTTTGTCTTAGTGTTTAAAATATTTATTTTGAAACTAATTAATTAATTTCTTAATTAAACAAACATACTTACTGGTTGAGCAGGGTAGGCTATGACAGCTGTCATATCATACCCTGCCATGCCAGCTGATGCAAAATATAGAATTTATATCTACACAGAAGAAAGCCCTGTCTAGACTCTGCCCCAGTATGAGTTGTGTCGAGCTATTCATTAGCCTGTTTGTTTGATGAAAAAAGATTAAATGTAGTTGCAATAAATGCATTAAGAATCCATACAACTGCAGCAGCGGAGGACTATTATTCTGCTGCGTGATACTGCAGAAGAACTGATGATGGTTTGATCTTCGGCTGACCAATCAGCAGAAAGGGGCGTTTAATTGCTGAACGCCCACGTGTAGAAATCGAGTATTCAAGCTGTTTATTCATTTTTCCACCCATGAACGAAAAACGAAAATTTAAGCTGAATTTTCGTTTTTTCATCTTTTGGAAAAAAACGAAAAAGGAGCCGTTTTCTCATTTTTCTACTTTCAATATTAAATCAAAAAATGAATGATCGAATGATACACGGATTTGATTGGTCAGCCGAAGATCAAACCGTGCGCAATCAGTTCTTCCGCAGTATCATGCAGCAGAATAATAGTCCTCCGCTGCTGCAGGTGTACGGATTCTTAATGCATTTGCCACTGTACAACAAATTCTGTCTGTCAGATGTTTTGATTGCGAAGTGCCTAACCTAACCCTAACCGTGTTTGATTCAAGGCATTTATCTCTACATATGCTAGTCAATTATTAAGATCTTAATAATTATTTTGTTTTATTAATAATATGTGTTAGCCTGTGTCTGGGTTTACGAAGCATCTTTTTTCATACAAAAAAAAATCTGAATTAATTTATAGAAACACAGCTCAATCGCAATATGTTCATAGTAATAATATTGACTAATATTAATAAAATTATTGATATTGAGAATAAAGTAAATAGTACTTCACAACAGATGGTAATTATAGCACCTTACAAGTACAATAATGCAGGGATGTAACTACATTTAATTGGTTTTTAACCATTTTTGTTTAACCAGAAAAACAAAAACATTGTTGTACATATTAATTATTATTTACATATTCATTATTGTCAAGGAAGAAAAATGAAGCGTTCCAGCTCTGATCTGAATGATGTCTGTGGTGGTTGTGGCCTGTGATGAAGTGATTTTGTGGGAGAGATATTGATGATGGCGTTTTCCAGGTGTTTCTTGTCTGTGTAGTGTTCTGTATTAAAGACAAATGAATTTATACCTCTGCTTGGATTTGCTTTTCTCCAGTCACAG